TGACTCTGACTCACAGTAAGAAACACTTTATAATGTAAACATGCAGAATCACATAAAGCAAAAACTTTATAAAACCATATTTTGACTTTACTCTATGCAATATGCTGTGATGTTTTCTCACTGAAGAAAAGCTGTGGGGTGAAGCTAATTTTGTAAACTACAGATGCTTAAAAATACTAGTTTTAACCCACTAAACTGATTTTGCGGCACTTCCCTACTAAAAACTCTTCATACTATTTACAACCCGAAATCCAAGTCCTTAGATCGAAAATAGAAAACTGAAATACAAAAATATTGAACTTTGAAAACCAATACTTCTCAAAAAAAAAAAAAAGTATCACTCACCTAGCTGTGTACATTTTACAAACAAAACATTTTCTGGTCCATAGCCAGTGCTTCTTTATAAGAAGGGGATAAAGTGTCTTATCCAAGCAGTCATCATGATGCACAAGCCTTTTGTACATGAGAAAATAAATGAAGATATTAAAGTGTATATTTTTATGATCTGTAAAGAATTAAATATATCTGTACCTCAACATTAGGAACACAGAAGACATATTTTCCAATTTTTGCTTACAGAAGATTTAGGTACACTGATTTTTTACGTCAGGTTTGACCAAATGGTGTTTTATAAGATACTTTCTCCAAAAGAGCATTTGTGGATTGAACAACGTTTTCTTTCCCATAAGACCTCCCAAATCCATTTATGGTCATGTGCACTGTGATCCTCTAAAAGGGAACTGGCAGCATTTCTTAATCCTTGCTTTCTTGACACTAGTTCCTTTTTATGGAACATAGTTTGGGCAAGGCTACTCAGTGATATTTTATCTTTATTTATTGTCCCCTTTATTAAAATCCATATCTGGCTCCTGGTAGTATGAATTAGTAGGATCTTGGTTTTAGGTACCAGAATCATGGAACTTTTAAGAAATTATAAGTGGAAGTTAGTCTCCACTCTGCCACTCATCAGCTACATGGCTCAGGTAAACACCTAAAAACATGAAGGCTCAGATTCCTCATCTGAAAAATGAAAGGACTGAACAGGATTACTCTAAAGGTCCCTGAAAATTCTAAAATTCGATTTTTTTGTTTTTATTTTTTCAGTAAAGGGTAGCAATGTATTAAACTTCGCCATTAGAAAGCGATTAAACTTTTGATAGTTGGTACTGTGGAATGACACAGAATGATTAAATCCACCTGTAAAAAGAAAATGAGTTCTCAGCAAAGTCCCACATTGCTCTCTCTTAAGTGTTAGTTGCTTTTTCTCTAGCATTGAAACATCATTGTTTCTTTTGCTGACCACTGCATCAAGATGCTGCCTTGAGTTTAAGGGCCACGTTTTATACTTCAGCCCCGGAATGACAGTTTACAGCAATATGCCTAAACTACAAGAAACAAGGCCATCAGAGAATAGTGGATTGTCTTCCATCTTATATTTATTATGAAGCAGGCACATTCCCCCTCATTTGAGTGGAAAAGCAGGCAGAATAACTTATATAAAATTTTAATGACATTATCAAAGACATTAAATACTATCAAGTACTATTTAATATAATAGTCACATAAATCTGAGGTTTAGAAGCTCTCCTGGCTCTTGCCTTGCTATTCTTCCCTAAGGGCAGCTGTTTTCCATTCTTAACAGTTTCTTTAGAATTCAGCTCAACTTCCCTCTATAGAACTATGAAGGTACTTCAAAAAGTTTGTGAAAAAATGAAATTAAAAGATAATATGAATTTTTCCATGAAGTTTCTGAAAACCCCTCTACTATATAACCTTTGGTTAAATAGATATTTAATGTTTAAATTATGACGAATTAATACTACTTCCACAAAGGCCCCACAACTGACTACACATTCCTTTTATTGTATAACATTTTGTTTTCCAGCTACTAATTCTCTCCTGTTCACATCTGCTTAATTTTCAATGTACCTATCACTAATTCAGTTACCAATTTTCTTTCTTTCTTTTTTTTTTTTTTTTGTGACCGGCAACGGGATCGCAACCCTCGGCGTTTGCTCCTGCACCTCGCTCAGCCAGTGAGCGGGAACGGTCTGTATGTGGGATCCGAACCCTTGGCGGGAGCGCCGCTGCGCTTCCCAAGCAGCGCACTGTAGCAGTGCGCCACTGGGCCGGCCCTCAGTTACCAATTTTCTTACAGAAAAAAATGGTCTCTCAGAAAGCCTCAAACTAGCAATAAAGTAGGGTGTATTTCTACATATTGGTCCTTCTTAAACTAAGATTTCCTAAATAAGAGGAAATGAATAGCCTTATTCATGAAGAATAGAGATATCAGCTATATGAAACGTATAACAAATCCCAAATCTCATTTCAGACTATTACAGCTCCTTCCCAATATAAATCTTTATCAAAGCATTAAGACTTCACCTTTGTCAAATACTGGAATTACTCCTCTCTTCCCCCAGTTACCTTTTCTCTCCTTCAGATTTTGGCAAAAAGAAACCTAAAAATATAACTGCAAATGTGCAAAACAAAGGGCCTGTATGTTATACAAAATAGATGCCTACTACTTGAATTACAGCTGTTTAATATACAAAGGGGATATTTTAAAAAGTATTTACAGATCGAATAAATAGTAAAGGATTTTTAAATTTTCCAAAAAATGAACAATAGAGGATGCAAATGGATGCAAAGAGTTGTTCAATGCATGGAAAGCAGACACTTATTTTTGCTGTTCCCAAGCCAAGATGCATTACTTTAATTCCTCTTATAATTTTTTAAAAACTATCTGTGAGGGGCTGGCTGGTTAGCTCAGTTGGTTAGAGCATGGTGCTGATAACACCAAGATCCAGGGTTCAATCCCTGTACTGGGCAGCCAACAAAACAAAACAACAAAACTATCTGTGCTTTTTATACTATTAGGTAAACAGAAGAAAAGCAGAATAACAAAATGTTCTGAGTGCTGCCACCTACCTTATGTCAGTAATGACAACAACATGTTCACAGTCACCCTGGTGACAGTATAAGTAAGGAAAACCCAGTTTAATATACAAGTCATTGAAGGTGAAATCTTCCATTCTAGCAGTCTGAAACTTGCCATAGCCTCTATCACGGGCCTCTGACCACTCAATGATAGTTCTGAAGGGGGGAAAAAGGCAAGAATATATCATTGCTCCACAAAAACTTAAAAATTAAAGAAAAGGGTTTGTGACTGTAGTATTTCACATAACCTGGCTCACCCAATTAACTTCATCTTGAGATGAAGACCACAGTGGCTGACACATGTTGGAATTAGGAACACCTAACTTTCCTTCATATAATTAGAGCAGCAGTTCTCTAAGTGTGGTCCCTGAGGTCAAAATTATCTTCACAATGATACTAAGATTTTCTGCCCTTTTCACCTCTTAGCCTCTCATAAGTAATTGAGCAGTTTTCTGGAGGTTACATGATGTGTATCACTTCAGCTTGAATAGAAAATGTATAACAATGCTATTCTCACAATTTTATTTTGAAAAATAGGTATTTTTCACAAAAATGCTGACATGCAATAAGATTACTTAATATTTTAAATATTCCTTAGTTTCAATGTCCAATATGGTAAATATTGATAGCGATAACTCACATAAGCATTAGCTCTTTGGGGCCCTCAATTATTTACACTATAAAGGAGAGCTAAGACCAACAAGTATGAGAACTGTTACATTAGAATATAAATAAAAAATCGCTATAATGAAAGAGAATTGATATAAGCATTCAGAAAAAATTTACAGGTATACTCTAATTGCTAGGACACTCATGATAAGAGTATGGTCTCATTAAAATATTAGATATGGATTTTTCATATGTACTTAAGGAACATAATATATGCATACATCCATTCACCCAGGACAAATAACAGTATATATTAGACAAGCAGAAGAAAACAGTGAAAGATTAATTCACCACTATCACTTAAATATGAAGACGGATTAATAAAATGTTCTAGTGGGATTTAATTTTTTTAGACGCATGTAATGCTCAATACAAGATTTGTAAAACTTCCTTGGCAAAGATACTTAACAGACCAATAAAAGAGTGCTTGCTTTGGCAATGTATATACTAAAATTGTAATGATACAGAGAAGATTTGTATCTCATGAATATTCATAATAATAATAAAAAAATAAACAGACCAATAAAAGAATTGGTGGAAATACCACTATTTTTGAGAACTAGAAATAAGAAAGACTTTGAGAAGATTTTTGGAAACTATACCTGCTCAAATCTCTACATTCTGGATATCTTTTATCATTGTAAAATGTTCCTTCAAAATAAAAGAAGGCTGATTTGTATAGGTCCTACAAGAAAACAGATGATATTGAGAGAAAGCCTATTATTAACGATTATGAAATTGCTCTAAGTATTACTAGAAAATATCACTAGTTTTGATTTAAATTTATATATTCTCCTGAGATTCATGAAAGGAACTCAATTAGAAATCAAACTTCAAGGACTGGATTGTGGCTCACTCGGGAGGGTGTGGTGTTGAAAACACCAAGGCCGTGGGTTCAGATCCCTGTGTAAGGATGGCCAGTTAGCTTACTTGGGAGAGCACGGTGCTGACAACACCAAGTCAGGGGTTAGGATCCCCTTGTTGGTCATCTTTAAAAAAATAATAATAAAAAGAAATCAAGCTTCAATATTATTTTATTATATGCATACATAGCACTGACAGTTATTTTGGATACTAGAAGTAAAAACTAAACGAAGTCATATCATTGATGTTCCCCCAGTGATAACAATGATCATTGAGTTATGTTTCTCTGGCATTTTTTTTTTTTTTTGTATTTTTAATGTGTTTTTACAAAAATCCTCTCTCTATATTTTCAGCAGCTCTTAGGCAAACAGAATGTGAATTTCTATTCTTACTCAAGCAATCTTGCCCCTGGTACCATAATAGTTGCACAACTGGTCTGAACCCTTAGGTTTCTTAACTTCTATTTTACAATAATTTTTCATCAAAAAGGTTGCTCTTAATCCTGACTGCATAATAGAATCACAAAAACACCAAAGACTAAGATTCACCTCAGACTCATTAAATAAGAATCTTTGAGGAAGTGGACTACGTATCAGTATTTTTCCAAAGCTCTCTAGGAAAAACATGCAACCAGAATTGAAAACCACTCTGTTCTCAATTCTCCTTCACCATATGCTTCAACGACCGGTGTTCTTTTCCTTAACCTACCACTTACTAGCTTTATGACTCTGGGAATGTAACAATCTCGCCTCAGACCTCAGTTTCCCCACCTGTAAAATGAGAATTACAATATCTGCCATAGTATCTCTTACAGGACTGTGGTGAGAATCAAAAGCAATTTATTTATTTATTTTTTTGTTTGTTTGTTTTTTTCGTGACCGGTAAGGGGATCGCAACCCTTGGCTTGGTGACGCCGCACCGCGCTCAGCCAGTGAGTGCACCAGCCATCCCTATATAGGATCCGAACACGCGGCGGGAGCGCCGCTGGGCTCCCAGCGCCGCACTTTCCCGAGTGCACCATGGGGTCGGCCCCAAAAGCAATTTATGATCTATAAAAGATATATAAGTTTAGGTATTAAAATAACTTTATCTTAATATTATCATTTCTCTCCTATTTTTCCTTTTTAATTTTCTTCATTCACCCATTTACAGATCATCTTGCCTTGCCTCAGACACTCTTGCAAGACTGGCCGTGCTGTTTCCCCTTGGACTGGTCACTAAATCTCACTGACCGTCTGTTTCCTCATGTAATGTATGAGTAAAGCCATTGTCTTCCTCACAGGTTGTTGTGGAGATAAAAGATAAAATGTACCTAATGCCGTGCTTGGCTGCTACAAAACAAAATCTGACACTTAATATACTTCTAAATCCTCAAAGATGAAAGCCAGGGTCCAAAATAAAAGTTCTGAAAGAATACATTATTTTGAAAACAAAACAAAATTTAGTTTATATAAAATTGTATTCATTACAAAACACTTCTACAGAACTTCATCTTAAGTAATTTAAACAATGCCTTTTGGCACAATTATTAATTACAAGATGAACTCTAAAAGAAAATGTTTTCCCCCTAAATCATAAGTCATCCATTAATAATCTTCACTTACCTCAGTGTATAAATGATGCACACAGCATAGAAGATGTGTGTAATCTCAATAGCAACGAATTTTCATTTTCAACAATAACCGGAGATTATCACTAACTAGTTTCCCTATTTTGTCAGTATATCAGCTAGTTGAACTGACCAAGTTCTAAAGGGAGGGAATCACCAACTAACATGGAAAAACTAGTGTAAGAAGTTACTTCAGTTATTAATCTAATGTAACCTAAGAGTCTGCTGTTACTTTACCCATTTTAGAAAGTAACTGTCGATAACTAGCCTGGTCATTTGAACAAAGTCATTATTTATATATAATTTTAGGCATCTAATAGTCACTTACTTTCTCACAGATATTCAAATCAGCTATATTAGAACTTGAGAAACATTCCTAGGATGTGCTGTGAGGGAAATGCTGGAGAAACTTGGTTAAGGAAATCATCACAACTTAAATTTATGTTACCATTTTTCTTTTACCAAACCTTTATAATAAGTAACAGAATAAATACATGTGTGAAGTATTTTATTAGAATTCCTCTAAGAAAGACCCTTAGCAGATTATTAACAAAGAAAGATAACTAATTTGAGCAAAAAGAGTAGAAAGATCAAACATTAAAACATGAGGAAACTATTTACAAAAAAACCAAAAACTTGCACTGATATTATATGTTTGTTTTATAATGCAATCCATTCTTGAGCTATTATAGTCCAAAAACAGACATTAGCAAAATATATTATATTTTAGACATAAGGTTTTTTTTTTTTTTTTTGTCTTTTTCCGTGTCCGGCAACGGATCGCAACCCTCAGTGTCGCCCCCGTACCGGACCGGGACCGGCAACGGGATCGCAGCCCTCGGTGTTGCTCCCGTGCCTCGCTCAGCCAGTGAGCGGGAAACGGTCTGCACGTGGGATCCGAACCCTCGGTGGGAGCGCCGCCGCGCTTCCCAAGCGGCGCACTATAGCAGTGCGCCACCGGGCCGGCCCTAGACATAAGGTTTTGAGAAAGATTTAAATACACTGGCCCAAGACTCCTAGTCCTATCACAAAGAAAATTAATCAAAGAAAGTATTTTATTCAAAAGTTCGAAGGTCCTGCTTATTGGTTGGAATAGATTCTCATTTCCTCAGCTACAAGAGCTGCAACTCCCTAATTTGCTCCATGATTGTCAGTGGGATACATCTAAATATATTCCTGTCTAAAAGCATTAGAACTCAAGGACTTATTTTCAATTTTGTTTGGTGTGACAATGGCATGTGGAGAACAGATGAAACAATTCTGGCAAAACACAGAATTGCTGAAGGTGGGTAATGAGTACCCATTCATTATACTATTCTCTTTCTTGTCTGTATGTTTGAAATTTTCCAAGATAGAACTTAAAAAAAAAAAAAAAAAAGTCATAAAATACAAACGATCAATGAAATTGAAATCTTTCTGAGGGCCAAAAAAAGTTAGCGTCAGCAAAATCTCACTTATTTATATGCATTCACCTTTCTAAAACACAGCTAGAGAACCAGGAAGCAAACGAAACAGGTTTCTGAACAAAGATTCCACAAAGTCCATGTGTTAGAAGCTTGCTGGTGTATTTTAATCAGAGCATTGCTCAAGGTTTCATTCAGCACCTGTTCACCAAGTAAAGAAAAGGATAGGGAGAGACATCTAAAGCCAGGCATAATGCGAGCAACACAGCAAAGAAGAAATAACGTGAGGCTTTGAAGGAGAAATGACATGGATCTGAATCCAGCCTCCATCACTGCTTACTGAACATCTTTTTCTAATCTGTAAAATAGGGATAATTGTTTCCAAAGATCTCATACATTTGGCACATGGTAAGTGCTTAATAATAAGAGGTTATTTTAGTAGATGGAAGAAGCAGAAACAATATCACAGTCGATGTGCAAGTAATTAAGAAATAAGACTGGGTCATTTAGTTCCTGCTTAGAAAATTTCTGAAGGCATCAGCACCAATGTTCAAACACAATAAATTGACCAAGACTGGTTAAAAACATTGTCCAGGGTTTCCAGGAGGTAAGACCATTTCCCAGATCTTACTCAAAGTGCTTTGAGCAATTACGACATGGTTGGAATGAAGAAGGTAAATTCAGATTTTTCTTATTAAATTATCTAATTACTTTATAGTTACACCTTATTTTTTAATTTTTATTTCTTGGTAGGGTTAAAAAGGTTTGCAGAAGATTGCTGCTTTTCCTTAAAAGAAAAGATAAATCTCATATTTCCTGGACTGTATAAAGCCTTGAAATTCCACTTTTTATCCTAAACCACTTAGGTGGCAAGCCAGAACATACAAGAACATACATATCTTTTTTTTTAAAGATGACCGTAAGGGGATCATAACCCTTGACTTGTTGTTGTCAGCACCGCGCTCTCCCAAGTGAGCTAACCGGCCATCTGTATATAGGGATCCAAACCCATGGCCTTGGTGTTATCAGCACCACAGTCTCCCAAGTGAGCCACGGACCGGCCAGAACATACATATCTTAAAACCATTTTTAGTATAACTCAAAAAACATTTCAGTGTAATCTATGTGTGAGCCACGATGTTAGTCTCCATGCCAGTCCCCAGAAAGGCCGGAACACAGTCAGCCTGTGGGGCACACAGACACATACCGAACATTATTAGCATATTCTAACATGCACTATAATGAACAAACAAAAAGGTGCCAGAGTGGCAAAGAGAGGATAGTCAGGAAAAATTTTGTGTAATAGGTAAGTTTTGAGAAGGGCTTGGAAACATGAGTATGAACCCACCAGATGGATGGAGGGAGGAAAGGGCTTCCTACCATGGTCAAGCACTCAGAAGCATGAAAAAGTATGGTACACTTAAGGAAGACAGGCAAATTCATCGTGGCTGAAGCACAAGGTATAAAGAGGTAGGAGGAGTTGCATGGAAAACTAATGTGGGAATCACCATTGTAAAAGGGTTTATATTGTCAGCCTAAGAAGAAAAAGAAGAACTAACGTAAAACCTAAGTTATACCAACATTTATCTGCCTGGTGGAATGGGAACCAGCAAAAACAGAGACTGTGTTGGTTCTTGTCCAAACTCTATCTCCATTCTACTTGTTCCAAATATCTTTTTATTTATCTACAGGAGATGCTGCCCCTCTCCTGAAGTGAGACAGTAAATCTAGGGACTTCTGCCAGAGTTGCACCAGGTAAAAGAATTAATTCAATCTTGCCCAACACTGACATTGGAAAGGAAGGAACAAGGCCTTTCTGCTTTACTAGGTAAGCAATCCCTTCCGAAAACTCTGTGGGTAGCCAGTCTACCACTTTGCCCCTTTTCATACTTATTCAATGGGCACATAGGGTTTTTCTGTCGTTCTGAGAGCGCCGTACTGGGAAACACGAGCAAGGACCAACTTCATATGCTATCTCCCTGTTGGTATTGGTCCTTGGACTGACAGGTCCTTCTATGAGCAGTGAAAGGTGAAGAATGGGTGCTAACTGTTGAGGCTCTCGGGTAGACTCCAACCTTTTGCTGGGGGCAGTTATGACAGACTTAACTCCTACAGAGTTCAAAACAAAAGGGTACAGCAAAATCAAATGCTACAGCAAGGTCAAGGTGCATGAAAATAGAAAAGACCAATTGCTTAGACAATTAAGTGGCTGCTATTACCTCAGAAGGAAGAGCATCCAGAGAATGGTTGAGAAATAAATGAGAGGTGAAGAAATCAAAACAGACTATAGCCTCCTCTTTGGAAAAGTTCTGACAATAAAGGGAAGAAAAAAGATAGGGCAGTAGCTTGATAAAATCGCATAGAAGAAGAAAGCATTTACTGGAATGTTTATGAGCCTGCTAGACTAATCACTATTTCCTTATCTTTTCCTTTTGTTTTATGAGGGGGAAAAAAATCACCTTACTTTGCTGATGTGCTCAGGGGCTTGGTCAGGAGTGTTGCTGAATTCTCCACCAATCTGGAGGTCACTGACACAGCAAATTGAATCCCTCAGTTCTGTGAGCTTTTGACTACCCAATACCAGCATTGTCTGGTATGGTTTGTGTTCTTTGTGCTAAAAGTTAAACAGTAAATAAATAAGTGTCCATCAGAGACAATTCAATTAGACCACAAATCCTGTCATAACCAGATCTAAATTATTAGTTATCTTAATTTGAATTATACCCATAACTTGGTTTTCTGTGTTTTCTTAGATTCTGTACTTATCTATTTCACATCCATTAATTACAGGGGCAAACTAATATCAAAGTTGATTACATCATCACTGCAATCCAGAACCCATACTCTGAAATGATCTCCTTTAACTCTCACACACCTAGCCAATATTTCCCCTGGTACCCAATCAACCTAAATCCACCCAGGGCCAGGTACCAAACCACATGGGACAGCCCCTATACCAGAAAGGTGGCTAGAATTATTCAAACTAGCCAATCCTAAGTTGTTTACCCTGTCCTTTCCTGCCTTTCCCACAGAGACCCCAATAAAGACTGGTCTATGCTCTCCCCTCTCTCCTTTCTACCTCCTGACCAAGACTAGTGCTTCCCCTCTGTGGCCCCACATGGAGGGGCACGCCCCCTCCTTGCAGGAAATATAAGTAAAAAAAATCTTCTTTCAATGACATTGGTCTCTCTGTGTCATCCCTTGGCCACCACCATAAATTAAAATCCCATGGGTACAACTGAGATACTTGGCAACAGAACTTTTCTAGTTTAAGTTTAAAGTTTATAGTCAAGATGCTACTAAACTGACATTAGCATTAAGAATTTTAGAATACAACTTCTT